GGAAATTTAAGACCTTAAGAGAGATGTCTGCAAAGGAAGAAATAAAAACTTTAAGAGATGATGCAGACAATAACAAGAAGAGTGGATTTTTCAATTTATGAGATGTGGTCAAAGCATGCTTATTGCCAAATTCATCATCGTAAATGCTTTCTATTATTTAAAGCATAGGTTTTAGGTTTAGTTAGACCTGATCCAAATCCGGAGGCTGCCACTTGCTGAGTGACCTTCAATGACCTTGCCTCTCTCAGCGTCTGTTTCTACAGAGGGAAGGTGGGGGATACTGATGGCGTGCAGTGAGGAACTTGGGATAGATGTCAAGAATAGCATCTCGTATGGTGACATACAAGTTGACAAGTTGTAGCTGCGAGTGAAGATTTAAGAGTTCTAGTTTTATCCTACAACTATTTAATGATTTTTTTTAAAAGGGACACATGGATTTTCTTAGTGATTCAAGAGCTTTGAAATGCTCTCAATGTGTCATACCTGTCTTCATCTAAGAAATGCATCTTTCTTCACATCTTTTGACTTGCTATGAGTGTTCCTGGCAATTTTTAATTAAGCCCTCACAGATTTTAGATCATTGGCTATGTGGTAAGCAAATTATTTGCAAAAATAATATTCTTGCTTCCTTTAGGGGAATTTCCTCCATGGAAATAATACAGCATCCAATTTGCTGTGCAACAATTTCAGATGTTGAAAAAGGACTTTAATTTGAGAAGGGGTCTGTTTGGATTGTTTAGATGCGATGAACTGAAACTGCTTTGTTGGTTCTGTTTTTCTGGCTTCTGGGAGAGGAGGAGATATGAATTCAATTAGCACCTTGGTGTTTGCTTTATCCTTCATTTCAGTACGGGAGATGCTTCGTATGCACAGTGGCGTCAGGTTACATCAAAAGAGGGGGAAACAGTTTCTTGGTTTTTAATTTTCTACCGAAAAGGAAAGGCACCCATTTTGTTCTGCTCTAATTAGTATGGGAGCTAGTGCATGACTTTGAGGGCAGGCAGATGCTTCAAAGATGCTTGTAACAGAGATCTTTATTAATTTCCATGCAGGATTTATCCTTCTGCCATGTCTAGGCCGAAGGTAATGGCCCAGGAGGACGAGCAGTGCAGAGAGCTCACCAGCCTAAGCCAGGTGTTACCAAGAACAAGTCACAATGGTGAGAAAATGGCATGTTCACAGTCTTCCACTTCCTTCTCCATCAGAAACACAACGTTCATTATTTTATTTAGGGATTCAAAAAATTATTTTAAAGTCAGTAGCAAGTCTAATTATAAAGGCATTTGCTGTGAAGGTGCTGGGGTTAAGGCTAGTTTGCCACCCCCTCTTTCAGAGGAAGCCAGAATGGAATCATGCAGAACGTTCACTCTGCCACCAAGTCCTGCTTTTCTGATGAGGAAACAGAGGCCCATGTGGCAAACTAAGGATTAAGAGACTAATTAGTGCTCTGGTCCTTTTATTAAGCACTGAAATCTTGGTCCAGTAATACATTTGTCCAGTAAAAGGAGCTTCCCTAACTAACTGGTTCTCACCCTTGTTCTTGAAAGGGCCTGTGCGTCCTCTACAGACTCCAGGAGGGGACTTTGCCTCCACTGCTGAGAGACCAAAGCCTCACCTGTTCTAAGTGACATTCTGCAGCTCGTGTCCCAGCAGCACTAGAATGCCTGAGCTCCAGCAAGCTGCCGGATGGTCAGTCCATTTAATTTCAGTGAGTACTTCGTTCTGGTTAACTGAGCATCTACTTTGTAGAAGGCACTGTGGAGGCTCATAGATGAGAGCAACACTGAGAGTCTATCCTAGCCTATAAAACATCACTTTGGGAAATGTTTAAAATGGAGGTAAGCTCCAGGGCTTCCTTTAGCCTAGAATTCACAAGCTCAGATGCCTGCAGAGGCCCAGCTGATGATGTAAAGAAGTGATTTGGGCTGGATGTGAAATAATTTGGGGTGGGTGGGTGGGGGCTGTGGGCTGTTTCCAGCTGGAGAGTGCTTTCCTGTTTTAAAGGGGCAGCTGCTACTCATTCCCGGCCAATTGTGTTCCCATGCAGAAAGTCAGGACCAGTCTGGCCAATATTGAAGATTTCCCAGAAAAAGCCAGAAATCTCCATTTTTGGGTAAAATCCCTCAAAAAGACTGTGCAGGCCAAATGGACACAGCTCAGTTTGCTGTCTCCCGCTTAGCCATGTGCAGAGCTGTCTCAGAGAACAGGGCGCAGTGCCCTTCATAATCATTCTTTTTCATCCCCTGCCATACCTTTCCTTTTCCTGCCTGGCTGTACCCTTTCTTCTCCCCCGCCCCCTCTGGCCCAGGCCTGGGTTCAGTGAATGTTCCAGAGGAACACTGAGCGTCTGTCGTGAGCTCCATATGAACAACCTTGAGCAACACTACTCTGGGGTAAGCACCTCACTGTAGATTTGTAATTTTTTAAGAAATGCAATACTTATGATTTTCTTCTTTCAGGGGAGAGCGGTATCCGTTTTGGTAGGTACTTACTTCGAGGCTGACAAGGGTTAGGGCTGTACGAGCATGCGCAGTAGAGAACTCCAGTCTGCAATGGGTGAAAACAGCGTCAAATGCCACGTGAAAATCACTGCCAGAAGCGTTACATTAGTGTTAAAATTGTGTTAAAAAATTCTGAAGGGACCAATGGACCAACCATTAAAAGACCTGCATGTGACCCCTCTTTCTCTCTCTCTTTTTCTTCTTTTCTTTCTTTCCTTTTCTTTCTTTCTTTTTTCTTTCTTTCCTTTCTTTTTTTCTTTTCTTCCTTCCTTCCTTCCTTCCTTCCTTTCTCTCTCTCTCTTTCTTTCTTTTTAAAGATTTTATGTATTTAGGGACACCTGGGTGGCTCAGATGATTAAGTGTCTGCCTCTGGCTCAGGTGATGATCTCCTGGTCCTGGGATCGAGCCCCAGGAGCCCCACGTCTGGCTCCCCACTCAGCAGAGAGCCTGCTTCTCTCTCTCCCTCTGCCCCTCCACCCCCGTGCTCGCTGTCTCCATCTCAAATGAATAAATAAAATCTTCATTAAAAAAAAAAAGATTTTATTTATTTATTTGACAGACAAAGAAAGAGAGCAGAAGTAGGGGGAGCAGCCCGCAGAGGGAAAGGGAGAAGCAGGCTCTCTGCTGTGCCACCAGCCCAGTGCGGCTCCACGCAGAGCTGGGGCTTGATCCCAGGACCCTGGCAGATGCTCAACCCACTGAGCCACCCAGGCCCCCCTTTCTCTCCTTCTCTTAAAGAGATAATGTGAATGTCAGAACAATAACTGCAGACAGACAGTGTCTACCATGTTTAAAACACTGCCTATGATGCAGGCATCAGGAGCTGTCAGCTGAGGGGAGCACATGAGGAGTTAATCAGAGATGGGAAACAGAGGGAATAAATGGGATCCGAGGAGAATGTTCAAGTTACCCCCAAGTAGAGTCTAGAAAAGGGAAGGAGCAGACCATCAGAGGACATGGTGTGGAAGAGCAGAGTTATGTGTATTGGGAGAGATGACTCTGGAATACAAAATAGTAAGGTCAGGAGTCAGCAGGGGATGATAGACAACAACGAGCTGAGAAGGGATTGGGGGTTATCTATAAATATATGCACACATGTGCAATATTATACTGGAAAATGGCTAACTACTGGCCCTCCTGGGGTGGGAGGGGAGCCTTGATTTGTAGTATTTGCGTATCATGTGGTATAAATACTCCTACAGTGACTAGTTTCAAGCTATTGACGTGAAGACATTGAAGGCAGAGCCGGGAAGAGGTGTGCACGGCCAAGCCCTGCAAGGTGGAAGGTAAGGAAGGGGACATGACAAGGTCCAAGGAAACTCAAGATCCTGGGGTGCCTCAGCAATGAGGGGTAACGAAGTCTAAAGAGTGGCTCGAGTGGAGTGACGGCAGAGGTCCTGAAGCCAGAGAGGTGCGCACAGACATTAGAAGGACCCCTCCAGCTAGGAGGGTGACCTTGGAGACAGTTGTGGAGGCTGGAACTTATGATCTAGGTCCCGAAGCCATAGAGGGCAGTGTGACGTTGGGCTCAAGGTCAGAGAATGTCAGAGGGAGATGTGGGGCTGTTCTGTGCCATTGTCCATTGCAAGTTCCTGAGCATCTTCTATGGGCATGATGCTGGGCGGACTCTCAAGATGTATAAGACAGCGCTCCTATCCATTTAGTAGGGAGACGAGGCCTGGACATAGGACATACAGTGTCATGTGACTGATACAGGTTAGGGATGCTATGGATTTAAAAATGAGGCTCTTAATATTCATAATAGGTACCACTATCTGAGCCCTTCGAATGTGCCCAACGCTGTTAGGTACCTTACCTGCATTCCTTTTAACCTTCAGAACAGCATCCCATTTAACAGATGAGGAAATGGAATCAGAAATTTTAAATAACTTATCCAGATTCACACATCCGGCAAGTGGCAGAGTCAAGCTTGAAACCCACATCTTTCTAATGCCAAAAAGCCTGTCCCCCAGCTGCTGTGCATCCCAGCCCCCTCCCCCTTAAAGACAGGGCTCCGATGGAGATGAAGGAGAGTGTAATAGGAGATTTGGAGTTTCTTTTTAAAAAATTACTCAGCTTGCATATTCCTAAAGAGTCAATTCATGTTAAGAAATAATTTCCCTTGTGCTCGCATGTGACATGTATTTTTAGGATCTGCTGTTAGCAAGTGTATTTTTGTGTGATTGAGTGGGAGAGTGGGAAAGTTTTTGCAGAGCTGTTTAAACCAGAATGCAGGGGGCACAGCAGAGACTTTAAAATCTCTGTCATCTAACGTCTTGGAAAAACCACAAAGAGACGTGTTCTCCATTTATTATTCTGTGTACATCCCCAGATGAATGACTAGTTAAAGGTATTGTTAAAGCATTTTAAATGACCCACTTCCAGCAGTGAACAGAGTCACTTGCTGTGCCAAGCCAACTGGCGTTTCTGAGATTATAAAACCACAAAGTGAGGAAAACGTTAAAACTGCTAAAGCAAAAATGATACACAGTAATGGAGAAGGATAAAAACTGAGCTTTATTGTCTGCGTAGGCAGATGGCTGACCACTAGGTGGGCCTCGGTGTAATGTCCAGGGTAATTGGCTGCTGGGGTGTTTCTGGCAAGGAAGCTTCAGACTTCAGCTCCGTACACAAAATCCTGGCGCATTCTTCCCTGTGCCCTGCTCTCTGCCTTCTCCTCACGACCAGATCTGACACTTGATCCAAGCAGACAATTGCAAGCAGAAAGTTACCTTTATCTTCAAATGCTTTTCTGAAAATAATGACATGAAAAGTAATTAAGGACCGGATTTCCTATCCGCCATTCTCTTCTGCATGTACAATTATCCGCAGATATAAAATTGCCTGCTTTGATAATTATACCCTCCAAATGAGGGGCAAGTGGCTAATTATGCCCACATGTGGCCAATTGCACTCTCCATTAGCCAATTATGTGCACGATTATTTGTGCACATAAATAATTGTACTCATGGAAAATAGCCATCCTCCTTTCAAGTGCTCCTGCTTTGAGTGGCTGATGGAGTGATTGTCACGCTGGAAATGTACTTGTTGGGAGTGAAAGAGTATCAGATACCAGGAAACGCACCAGTGACCAGAGCTCGCAGGTGGACACTGAAGCAAATGGCAGTAGGAGTCCAGGAGAGCGGGAAGGACTGCGGGATGGAAGGGAGAGTCTGTGGGTGAGGAAGGTGCTTCCGAGGTTGGCGGAGCTGCTCATGTGTGGTGACCTTGGGCAGGTTCATTAACCTTCCCTCAGTTTTAATGGTTCTGCACACACAATGAGAATGATAATAATGCCCAAGTCCCAGCTCTATTGTAGGATGGATCCGACAATTCAGGAGGGTTTGTCGTCTACTTCGGATAAAAGCACTACGTGACAGGAGGCATCATGATGTGGGTCAGCACATTTCCACCTGCCAAGGAGGGGTAATGACCCTCCTTAGCAAAGCAGGACCTTTGCTAAGGGAAAGGAGATATGATAAGAACAGGAAGCTTGATCCCCCAGGGCACTGATGAGACACCAGAGAATGACATACAGAATTCATTCATTCATTTGTTCATTCATTCATTCATTCACCTCTTCAACAGACAAGAGTCAGCCTTTCACCTGGAGTTTCTCTGATGAGTAATGAGGGGAACTTTTACTTCACGCCTAAGAAATCTGGCGTGGGTTTTCACAGTTTGAATGACAGACAAACTCAGTGCCAGTGAATGTTGTGAGGTAGGGTCCCTTTTAACAACCCAAGAACTGTGGTTTTGATGCCAATGCTAACAAGTAGTAGATGTCACAGTGTCAGGGGTAAGGCCAAGAGGCAAGATTGCAGCTCTGCTACCTGCCTGTGCTCCCATCTTCCCTTTCACACATGATAGAAGGAAGTATTCTGCCTCATGGGGGGAAGGAAGAAGATTCACAGAGGCAAATAGGCTAAGTTAGTTTTGAAAGAAGAGGTGTTTGCCATATGGGTGCGACACGGGGGGATATGGTTGTATTATAGAAAACCGGGGCATCAAATAGCCTGTCTAGAGTTCAATGTGTAGACTCTGGACCAGATTCTGCCTGGGTTTGAATCCTAGCTGTGTGATATTAAGCAAGTTACTTAACTTCTCTGCGTTTCTGTCCATTCTTATAAAATGGGGATTCTAAGAGACTTGTGTCATACAGTTTTGTAAGGGTCCAATTAGTGCGTATGTAGATAGAAGTATTTAGAACAATGACTAACCCAGAGGAAGCACTGTCTGCCATTACTTTAATTACTAGACTAAAAATAAACCAAAAATCCCATCTAAGAAAAGTAATACTAGTGGTTCTCAATCTTCAGTCTATCCAAAAATCACATGTGTGACTTAGCAAATAAAGCAGACTCCTGGATTCCTGCCTCAGAGATGCTCCCTCACTAGGCTGGGCTCGAGTCTAGGCGTCTTCACTTCAAACAAGCCTCTCCCCAGTCCCGCCCCAAGTGATTCCCATGCAGGTGACCCGCGGACCAGGCTTTGAGAAATAGAATCACACAGAAGTGGCCCCTGACCACAGCCCATTCCTTACCTGGGCGATTTCTGCTGACAAGAGCCTCTGTGGGAACTGGCGGCGGGAACCCAGAGTGGCAAGCGCGGGTCTCCTCTGAGGTAGCAGCATGTGTGCTGCATGGTCCGATGGGCCCACTAGCAGCTGCCTTCTGTAACTCTTCTGTAAACTCAGCAGACGGGATTTAAAAAAAAAATTAATATTTTTATGATGAGACAAATCTCGTGTCTCTTAATCCTGTAAATGAGGAAACTAAAGTGTAAACATCTGCACTTAGGAGAATGAGTTACCAAAGCCAGAGGCTCCCAGCTCTGGGTGATCCCCAGCAGTGGGAACGCAGGTGGAGTTGCCCAGAGTGCAAAATATGGACCTGTGGCTGCAGGCGCCACACTTGCCAGAAAGAACTGGTTCTGCCTATGGCGCGTCAATACTTAAGGTAAACCCTTCTTCAAAATGCTGGTTTTGAAAGCCTGGCTTCCCTAAATAGGAACATTCTAATGGTAGCAAAAATGAAAACGTCTTCTGGATTGAAAAGGGACCCACGGCATAACGGTTATTACACACCCCTCGCCCTGCGTGATGAGTGGCTGCCTGGCTGGCCTCCAACCCCAGGGTCCAGATGCTGAAGCAATTATAGACAAGATCCCAGGCCTACCCGACACTTCTCAGAAATATGTTGTTGGCATAAAAAGAAATATTGATTCATGATAATTAAAATGTTATATTTAAATACTACCCCCCCAAAAAAGAAATTTGCTTTCCCCATATCTACATATTGAATCTTCATGCAGACATGTTCCCCTAAAAACCCACTAGTGTCGGAATGTGTGTTGTCCTTTGTGATGTATGCACACAGATCTCGTAGACCCGGTCAGGAACTGCAGATAGTGAAGGTCATCCGCTCCCTGTCTAAAGCCTGAGCCCTCTGCGTCACAGCCCTAAGCACAGACTCTCCCCTCTGCTGGAGGGCGGATTCAGCAGCCAGCTGTTCTCAGCCCTGCTCTAGTGGACATTTCCATCCTTGGCTTCCAGATGAGACCATCAGGGGCGTGCTTATCTGGAAAGAGCCAGTCAGGCTGGAGGAAAGAGCCAGTCAGGCCGGAGGGAGGGATTGAATCTAACAAGATGACATGTGATGAGGATAATTGTGAAGCTGAACTCCAGACCAGAGGAATCGAGCACCACATTTTTGAGAACAGCGGAGATGAGCTTTGATGGATGGGCACTTCGTCTGCCAGAGCAGCCAATCCATCTGGATGGCCCGAACTGCTGGAAAGTTCTTCTCCACATGGTGCCCATGTACCTTCAGTCCATTCTTGCCGTGGTGCTTGCTTGCCCCGGCTTGCTCACCCTGGCTTCCCCTATCTCTCCTCATGTGTTCCCCTTCTGGCTTACCCCCCTCCTCCTGACTAACGAGTGCCAGCCACCCTGGGGCCTTTTTTCGGGTCCTTAATGGACTAAACCCATTCCAGCATCCAAGTCCTTACACCTGCTGTCCTACCTCTTGGCAAAGCTGCCTCCTTCCTGTCCTTCAGGACTCAGCTCCGATGTCTCCTTGCCCAGTGTCAGCTTCCTCCCCCTGTTCCTCTCACTCTCTGTACCCTGTTAACTCCCTTCTAGCACTCAACAACATTTATACTTATTTAAAAATAGAGCTATTTGTACACTCTCTCTCCTGTCCCCCTCCTTCATTGCAAGTCTTTATAAGCTAGTCCTTAAAACCCAGTTAATAGATAGATATCAGACAATTATATATCATTTTCAGTCCATCCTGAGTTGATAAATATATTTTAATGTATTAGGCATGAAGAGAGCAAGGGTATTTGTTCTCCTATTCTTACCTAGGGATGTATCTAAAAAAGATTTAAAGTAGACATTTTGGGGGCCAAATAAGTGTGGTGATGAGACGATCTTCTGTTCCTAAATACTCAGCTCTTCCAGCTCACTGTCCCGGCGTGGGCGTGTCGGGCCTCGGGTCCCCTTCAGACCGTGTGGTCTCTGGAGCTGTGGCTCTCCAGAGCTGGCAGGCAGAATTCTGGTTGCACAGGACTGGGTCAATCCTGACCTGGTCTGCAGGCCAGAGCTGTCAGGAGCCGAGGAGGTGGTAGCTGCTGCTGTGAACGCCTTTCCCCGAGTCTGCCAAATGGCCATCAGACAGTGTTAATGACTTTTGATTTAGGTTTGAACAGAGCAGTCCCTTGGGCCATTTACTGTGCTGTATCATCCTCTCTGGAAAGTGCTCTCTAAGTAACTGCCCAGCAGACTGAGGAAATAAAATGCTCACAGAGAGGGAAAAAAACCACACACACAGAGAAGCCGACTTCTCATAACACGGTGTTTAGGTCTAGAACTGGATCATGAAAGGGTGCTTAAATTTTCTGTATTCATTGCATAGAACACTAATTTCTTCCCTCCTTTCCCCTCACACCTGCCTGCCTCTGTCTCTCTGCCACACACACACACACACACACACACACACACACACACACTGAGTCATTGCCAATAGTAATAGAGTTGCTTCTTTACCTTTTGGAAAGAAACCTCATTCTGATGAGGACGGTGCTGACTAGCCTGGCTGTTAATTGCAGAGACAATGCTTTATGCCATTATCTCTGCACAGCTGAAGGGCCTGGTGGAAACCGTCCTCTAAATGAAATAAAGTAGAGACATTCCTGCCAAGGGTTGGCAAAACTGCAGTCTTCTCCCCCACGCTCACAGCTTCTGAGAGAGAGAGCAAGAGGGGGGCAACGAGCATGTAGGGGCAGGGCCCCCTGAAGGGAAGATGAGGGAAGAAGTGTATGTGGATGTCAGGCTGGCTGACAGAAAGGACATACCCCTGAGTAACTGCTTTACCCCTTCAGTACCTGCTCTGAAATACTCAGCAGAAGTTCACAAAGCACCCGACTGAGGGGACTAGAGGAACCCCTTAAGGCTGAGACCTTTATTCCTGCACAGACTCTGGAGAATGTACCCTGCACAGTGGTCCATATTTTTGCTCTGACAATGCCAGAGACAAGGATTACAGGTCATGGCCCTCCTCCCAGGTTGACGGCAGAAGGTGACATCTCCTGAGGGTTCACCGTGTGTCAAGGGCTGATCGAAATGTGGTACTGTACCATCGCATCTAGTCCTCACAGTTATCAGAAGGGCGTGGGTATGGAACAAAAGCCAGTAAGGGCGTCCAGGAATTGCTACCCTCCTTGGGCCCCTATAAACATAGTAATTGTGTTTTCTTCTCCAAATCCTATGTATTACTTCTGTTGCTGAGATATTCACTGTAGAAAAGAGAAGTAATAGTAATAATGTAAAAGGGCACTGGGTAAGACAGCATCCAGCCGCAGTACTCACTGAAGGCTGAACCCGAAACTCTAGCTTCTCGATCGTCCCACGATGAAGATCGCTTGGTTCGAAGACAAGCCAGGTAAATGGCTACTCTTCATTACATAAATGAACAGCCTTCAAGAGAAGTGTGAAGAGATCTTTGTATTTTCTGAGATTCAAAAATCTGCCTCACTCTTTAGGTGGCAGGTAAAGGTCGTCCAGGTAAACGGGCGCCGGTACCTCTGGTTCTGTAAGGTGGCAGACCCTGAAATGAGAGCCACACTTGGAGCCCACATGCCCGTGGCTCTGTGCAGGGACTGTCAGAGCTAATCACAAACAGCTGTAACTTTGGAACAAGTGCAGCACCTCCTTGGCTAAGGTTGGCCCTGACAAAGAGTGTTGTCATCCTATAAAAATCCATTGCATGTGTGCTTTCCTCTAGGCTGGAAAAGGCATGATCGGACTAGTAAAAAAGCATCATGAAAGGGACTGTGACATCTTGTGGAAATGGTCTAAGTAGCCTCTGTTTCCATTTGGTGTTGGAGGAAAATGGACCCATCATTGTGCTCAGCAAAGCCTTGGGAGAAGGAAACCTTACAGAGGAATATACTGTAGTTTCTGTGGCGTTAATGACAGAGAGAGGAAGGGCGAGTGCTGCTGTAGGCAGTCATTCAGGAACCTGGCTGACAGCACATCTGCCATTTTTAACATTTGGTTTCCAAGGTTATTCCCATCACTGAAGTCTCTACTGCAGCCCATGAAAGAGGATGGCTTGGAGGAGCACAGATGGGAATTTTTATGGTCCAGACTTGAAATGTGCATACACCATTTCTGATCATACCCACAGAATGGGGGCTGAGAAATAGAGCCCCAGGAAGCAGATTTTGTGGACAGCTAGCAATTTCTGCCACCTAAGACAAGGGAGATCTAAAGCTACTTATTAGAAAAATATAATATAATATAAATATATGTTATATTTGTATTATAAATATATAATATATTTATAAATTTATAAATAAATAAAATTTATAAATATAAATTTATATTATAAATAATATTATATTCATATATATGAATATATGTATCATATATATATCATTCATATATAATATGAATATAATATAATATAAAAATGGTGATAGCTAACATTTATCCAAAACTGACTATATACCAGCTGGCACTCTAAGAGTTTTCATGGATCAACCCGTTTAACCCTGACAGTGGCCCTGTGAAGTCAGTGCTGATATTATCCCCATTTTATAGATTAAGAAAATGAAGCCTGGAGGGGCTTGAGTAGAGAAGTGGTCATAATTGTGCCCTTGGGCTTTGAGCAGTTCCTGGAAGTATCACCTGGAATCTGATGTGAGAAATGCTCAGACAGGGTGGGAACAAGGAGTAGCAGGGCACTGAGACAGTTGCTCAGTTGGGGATGGGTGGATGAGTGGGTTAGGCTTGAAGTTTGATAGAGAAGCTGATGCTTGACAATTTTGCAGAGCCTTGAAGGGTGAGAGGGACTTTACTGGACAAACTGATGGGTCCAGCAAGCAGGAGGCAGAGGAAACCATACCCCCACCACAGAGACACTGGAGAAAAGATAGCATGTTTCTAGTGTTAAAGGATAATTATTTTAAAGGTGAAGTCAAACCCTCATGCAGATATGAAATGAACACATGTCAAATATTTTATTTAATTTTTAATTAATGAGGAAACCAGCAAGATGTTACAACCGGCTCCAAGGAG